GGGGGGCAGTGGCACAAGTGATTCACGGTCTGCGTATTATCGGTCAGTGTGTGCCGGGGGAGGATCTCTGAAACACGTTCTGACGCCATTAGGTACTTTTAGGAAAACTTTTCAAGGAGTGTTTTTTTTTAATACTTTCAAACAATGATAAGGGCAGTTGTTTCTTAGTCTTTTAGATTTGCATTGTCGTATACATTACTCGCATAAATTTCTGACAGTTGATAAAGTTTAAACGAACTTTTAATCTCTGTGACCTTGTCTTTTGCCACCCTTTTATTTACTTCGTTATAAAAATCGCAAGTACGACGGTATATATCGAAGTTTTTCTGCATGATAAGATACAGGACTGTCAACTCAAACTAACCTGTATGGTGTCGAGCCTTTGGTGAGTTTTTTTTATAAGAGCCGTTACTAGAAGTGGAGCTTCCAAAGCACTTTGACTGTCTCGACGAAACCTTTGAACCTCCATGACTCTTTTGTGGATTTCGAAGGCAGTCCTTTGTGCATCCAGACTTGGTTGAATTGTACCAAGTTTACCCTTACTGCGATCTTTTCTCATCAGAAATGGCTTCGGTAGATGAGGAATGTACTGTTCGTCATTCTCGAAGTTGATGTTGATGTTAATGACCGATTTTTCGTAAGCCATTTTGAAGATCAAACTGTTTTCCTTTGGCGAAAATTACAGTGAGACTTTCTAGTATTGCACAGAATCAAAATGAACCTCAAGGGATTCACAGAGAAAGAATGCGTGAGACAGGCCATTATTTAAGCTCTAAAATGTCTTCACTCGACTTGTAGAAGTATTAAACAAGCTCCTATGTAAATATTAGAATCAAACTTCAAAGTTTACCGAGCAAAGTGTTAATCAAACTTAAGTTAGTTTTCGGTCTGACAAGAATGTTATTTACCCTCAAAGTCATATAATCAGTCGACTTAATATAAATGGAATACATGTTTACACGAATCGTTCGACTTACCCTCAAGCGTTGAAGATCTTTGTGGTTTCCATAGAGGTTTTTTATTCGATTTCACTGCAGTCAACAATCACAAAATCTAATATAACGATGTGCCTGTCGTTTACACTCGTCACAGCTCTCATGTTGTTTGTAATTTTCCTGATTTCACCTCTCAATTGCTCATAGCAACGCAAACGAACTTATACACCACGAATATAAAGGAATCCGCGATTTGGTAACGAAATCACGTTTGAACCTCAATGGTTGATTGAAAAGCTTTGTCAGAGAGGTCAAGGGCTAACTCCACAGGCGAATAAACACTGTCTGTTTACTGTTGACTTTAGTTTTCATTACCGCAGCAATCTCAGAACCAATTCGTGGTGCGTAAACACAAAGGACAGTTTGGCGACTAAACTGCGTGGTAACAATACTACCGTCTGCGCACCAAATCTCACGGGAAAAGTCTTCTTTACCGATCAAACAAAAATATAATGATTTTGTTAAGTATTCCCTTTGTTGAGCGATGTTTTGCGGGTAACTGAAAACAAAAAACAAGTCAAGAATGCCGAGAGAACCTTCTGTGATATGAGCCAATTAAAATACTATTTATGTTAAATGTGGAATTAAAGTGGTTTAGACAACCAAGAATGCTTTCAGAAAAAAAACTTGTGATTCGTCATGAAGAGTAAAAACCATTAAAAATGGAACACGGAGTGAGTAACTGTGCTTGTTTCACTGGATTTTTTTTCGGCAATATGTTGACTGACACGTCTTTAAAATGATTTGTTTATTCTCTTGTTTAAGGCGTGTTAGCGCGTGACTTTTAGAATTCGATTTGTACGTCATAAAAAGTGCAGCTTGAGGCACGCGTCGAAGTCGACTTCCAAACATTGAGTGGAACTGCAGAACATCTGAGAAGCTTTTTTAATTTTCTTATATTTGTGCTATGTCTTTCGCTTGTTATTCAATTGTTTTCTGGCGAGCGGATAAGATCTGAAGTGCTTCGTTTGCATACACGACCGAATTAAATTAAAATTGCTAAATACAAAAGGGGAATTGATAATGACCTTGCTTAGTTATTCAATTTATCCTTCCCTCAGGTCACCCCTGAACAATTTCCTCTGTTCTTTTGTTCTGCAAAATATTACCGAACGAGACACATTTTGATCTATGGAAACGAAGTTCGCTGATAAAAATAAAAAAGTTGCTGAAGAAAAAGGAAGTCGATGTCAATCTTAGGTCACTCTACGAGGCTGCGCTAATTAATTAAAAAAAATCTGCGTTTCTTTGCTTTGCTTTAACTTAAAATAAGTAGGCTCCACCACTGAAAAGATTGCGCGGTTATGGTCGGGGTGAAAAGCAGACCAATCGATGCCTACTTGTTTTTCTCAGCTCCATCACTGATGACGTAGAGAATAAAAGAGTCACTTGGGGGTTCTCTCATATAAGTAGCCAGGACTGGAGACATCAAGCCGCCTAAAAGGCAAAGAACCGCCAGCTACATTGGCCATTTGATAAGGGACAGGCATAGTTAGTAGAGGGGACTGGGGACAGGCATACATTTCTCTGTGCATCCGGTGTCTTACTACTGTTAGATTAAATACATGTGTTTGAAATGTGCAATTGTCATATCTGTGTTGTTGACTTTCGTTTCGTAAGGAAAATGACGCATTTTTAGCAGCTTAAAATCGAAGTGGAATTAAATTCTTGCGGCTGAGATTCGCAATTTTCAATGATGTAAGGGAGAGGAATTTTTTCAATGGCATGTTTAGTATATTGGATTTACGAGCCTTTCTCAAAATCTCTGCCAATCGTCAAGATAAAAGTTTTAATCAGTGATTAAAAGTAAATTGGTGAGAGTGTACCAAGGCCTTCTATTGAAACCACACAAAAGATTTCAGCCAGATGCATCACTAGCTCATTAACGTCGGTCGAACAAACAAGCAGCGCCCCTCCGGATCCGTAAGGATGACTGTCAGCAAACAGGAGGGGACCGTCTTTGAAGAAGAGAAAGACCCCCGATCTGGAATCTTTGATGAAGATTGCTGCTAGTCTTTCGTTAAATTTCCGTAATCTTGCGAGCTGATAGCAAACTGTTGCTGTCTCCGTTTCCGAGACAAAACTGACAGGAAGAGAGGAGCCGAGGTTTTTAATTTGAAGCGTGTCTCCAAATTCTTCAGCTACCTCCTCCACCGACAAATAAACAGCGCCATGTTTCTTCAAGTTGACTAACATATCATAAAGTCTATTGCCCTCAGCGATGCAACTGTTGTATAAGTTTATCCAGCTTTCGCCAAGGACGTCTGCCTCTGGGAGATCAAGATCACCAGAGCAAAATGCCTTCGCTATCAACACAGCAATCACGGTGCAAGCATTACTGCCATTTCTACCAACGTAATAGGACTGGCATATTTCTCGCGGAAAATGGTAGAAGCTTACTGAAGTGTCTCGAACTCTTTCACACCTCACAACCAAGTTATATTCTTGAGTTTGTGAAGGACAGTCAAGTTTTGACTCCCTAGCTTTCAAGATTTCACCTGAACCTGCAAAAGTCCCATTTGGATTACTTTCAATGATGTAGTTTTTGTGATCTATGTGAGGAGAAAATGTATTTTTGTTCTCCATCTTACGACCTGCTTTTGGCGTTGATCGTAAATAGCCTGAGCTCCCTTGCGACTGAATATGCGGGTCAAGTGTGACTATAGCATAGATCATGAAAGAAATGTACAATAACAAAGGCATACAGCTTGTCACTATGGTAACTATCTGAGCTGGTTTCCAGTGCGCCTGCAGTCCAACGAGCGAAGATTCACCATTCTGAGAAAACTGATTTATTATTGGTCCGTACCAGTTTGTGAGTGTTTCCAGCGTGTACATGGATCCAGTGGACATTAGAAAATGAAAAGCTGAGTAACTGTAAGGCAGATTCTCTTCCTTGTCAGATTTGTTTTCAATCGTTTCATTCTCAATATTTGTGCCTCTCAGAAGTCCAAGTGTGAAAGACTCTCTTCTTAAACATGCATAAAAGAATGCTGTGTGCATAAGAGACAAAGCTATGATAGTTTTAAAATGTACTCTAGTCGAGTTTTTCTGTCTCGAGAGAAATGTTCCTTCAAGATTGCATCCGCGACCTTCCTGTAGAGTAACTGCTAATACCATGACAAAGACCGAGTGAAATATTACTACTGCGCATGGCAGAATTATAGCTTCTGTTTGAATGTTATTTCTTATTCGAGGATGCAATGAAATGCCAAAGGATATGAAACTTGCTCCAAGGATTGGCACCATGAAGATGTCATTCCATATACAGTTTTGTGTTGATGTTTTTACAAGGATGAACGCAACAGTACCAAGGCTGATTGCTAATAAGAAGTAGGAGTTACAAATTAACAGGAATTGCATAACTTTGAAAGATGTTGTGCACTTGGATCCCTTTTCTTGCTGTATTGTGACCCAGGCGCCCAAGGCCTCTGCAAGATCTACCCACAGAAAAAACTGACACACGATGAATAGACAGCCGCCGATTAACGCAATATACGAAAAATAAACAATAAAGTAACTGTGTTGAGGTATGTAGAAAGCGCCTATGCAAATACCAGCGAGAGACAGAAGCTTGAAAACCCAGCACTGATTATGCAGACGTTCACGAATTGCCGGGAAGTTTGGTAGAAGAGTGAAAGCGAGAACGAAATGATACGTCGTGATAATTAGAAACAGTCGATAAAGAATCTGGCAGGTTAACACTTCCCGACAAGTTTTTTCATCCATTATCTTCTGGCATGTAAACAAGCTCTTGATCATTGTCGTTTCCAACAACTTCTCGTTGATGCCTGGTGCTGAAACGATGACTGTTGCCAAAGTCCACAGACACAAAAAACACTCATAAACGAGACAAATTTTGACGGACATTTTTATAGAACCGTCCGTGTACACTTAATTTTGCGAAGAGAATTGGTGGGACTTTGTTTAGAAGTGACAGTCTGTCAACTCAATTCACTGTTCTCACTTACTGGTTATGTCGTAATCTTCCGCAAAAGTCCCTGGAGCAGTGATAAAGATTTCGCTGTCTACCATTTTAAACCATAAATAACCAGACAGAAATTTGGCGCGCGAAAAACCTGAGTGTATTGAAGTGGAAAGTATACCCGCTGTTCATGACATTGTCAGGCGATTGTTTGCGGGAGAAACCGAAATATAAGGGACTTTAAGCAAACCACGACGGCTACGGCAACGAGAACGTGGAAAAACAATAGATTAAATTGGCAGAACAATAGCCCAGCACGTGCGTTTTAAAACTTTGTACATTTCTTAGCCGTCTTTTACAGAACAACAACGTGAAATCACCAGAATTTGCGTCGTCTGCGAAGCTAAAGCGCAGCGGCAAATTATTTTAATTTACATTTGGATCTCAACGCTACTTTTATGCGTTATGTTTAGTTTGAGGTCTGGCACCCTATGAGACGGTAAACACACGAAGCCATTTTCGAAATTCTAACTAAATGTAGAAACTCTATTTTTAATCGACGTCTTCCGTGGCGTTGCCGTACTGACTGCTTAAAGTCCCTATTACTGTTATCTTCAGTTGAGACAATGTTTGGCAAATTTCGTGCTATATTATTAAAACAAATTGCAACATGTTTAAAAATAAAATACAGCAGGAGCATCACAAAATTTGGTTGTAAAAAGAAAAAAAAAATGACAAGTACTATTTAAACTTTGATAATTCTATATTAGTTTCCTACTCCACAGCTTAAAGGCTATTATAGCTTCTCAAAGGCTACATGCGCGCAAAGCAAGAGTGTTTCTCTACTTTGAAAGTTGCTAAAAAAGTGCGCTCCAGGAACTATAAACAATTTCCTTATCCCAGAAGACTAGAGTGTCTAACCATTTGCAGATATCATAGCAAAGGTAGCACAGTCTCCTCAGTTATTTTAGGACCCTGAGTGTTGGTCCGGTCAGTGTGGCTTGGGCCAAACTTTTCGAGAGAAGAGCTTAATTTGTGTTTGGACCAAATCAAGTTTAGAAAAATACGCGTGTTGAATCACAGACCGTACTTAACTACTCGTTCTAAGAAAACTACTACAAATTACGCTATAACAATCTATGTATCTGACTGAAAAAATGAAAACTTGTGCGAATGAATCAAAACCATTACTGGGGCGCCATTCCCGGCTAAACCGTGCCGAGCCGCTCCAAACTGAAGACGCCGTTTTAAGTTGACTCAGACGTCGAACTTCTCGTGTATTAACACAGCGCTCAACGAGCTGCCATGTTTGTGTTGCGCAACCGGCGAATATAAAGATTTCTATGAGAATAAACAATCGTAATTTTAGCCGTGACTAGTTTTGAATAGAAGCAAACATACCCCACTTCTGAATTTGTTCCTTTGCATACTGTGAATCTTCTGGGCCGATTTAGGGCCGTTTGGCTCGATTTACGTTCATTTGCTTTGCCTTCTATATAGGATCACATGCAGGGCAAAAAATAAATAGTGAAACTCAGCTAAACACCCTTAAATCAGCCCAGAAAACTCACAAAATGTGAAGGAACAAACAACTCCAAAATCAAGGTAAGTTTCCTTTAATTCATAAGTAAATCAGAAGTACCTTATTATAGGAAATTAACAATGTACGATGACAACGCGAAGAAAATTTACGTTCCACTAAACGAACGCGAATTTTTCAAAAGTTAGGTTTACATGCATTAAATTACGCGAATTTTTCGATAAGCATCTCGCTTTTTTTACTGCGATTTTCATAATTCTGCAAACTCGCACTTTACATTTCTGAACGCTAAACTGCGTTTTGGCCTATGTCAATAAAACCTTCCAAGACAAGTCCACGGATGTTTCTAAGTTTCTGTGAATTCCGAAAATTTGGTTTAGAAGCTTAACTAGACCCTATCAATTCAAAAGATCTTTCAAAGCCTCCGCGAAATCACTAAGAGCAGCTCACCCGTTTGACTGACAGAAACCAAACCGCAGTTTGTTGCAGATACACAAAATTTCAACGTACACATGTGTCATGGAAAAAAAAAGCATTTACAGTAGTTAGCTCTTAGGAAATAAAGGTGCTTTAAATAACAATGTTGTAAAATAGCGTGCATTAAATTTACATCGACATTAACTAACATACATTAAATTAACCCGAACTTTGTAAAATCGCGTTGATAAAGTGCATTGTTAATTTCCTATAATAAGGTAGTTCAGATTTTTTAGGCTAAAACGCGAACAAACAAATCCTTACGTTTCGCCGACTGTGCAACGTAAAAATATTGGCATTTTCATGAGGGGGCGAACTTGGGCCACATGTGCTATCAAGGGTCTTGTTCCACAAGGATAAACGTGTTTGGCTCATCGACTTTCTGCTCTAAGGAAAAGAGACGGTCTCCATTACTGAGTCTTCGTTTCTCGGTGGTACCATCATTGTTTCGTACAACGAAGCTGAAACGATAAAACAATACAAATGCCCTTAATTTCCACAAGAGATATTTGCAGTCAATTTTGAGGGATCACAAATATACCATAGACAAAGGCAAGTGTTTCATAAGAGATTCCAAGAAATTGATGCCATTAATAATAGCATGCGTTATCTAATTACTTTCACACATCACGATACTTTCTAAAAACGCTCAAAAAGTGCAAAAGAGAAAATCTGATTATTCCACTGTTCTGGTATCGAGAACACTCAGGACATGTGCCTATGCCATAAAACTTACCTTTTCCTACCGTCTTTTAATTCAATGTATTTAATTGCCTTAATTGGCAAGTTGAATTTACAAGTCACCTAGAAATCCAAAGAAAAGATTATGCTGAGTTGCAAATACATCATGACTTAAATGGAGAGGTGAGTCACCACATATCCTTTTGATCGAGAAAAAATGGAAAAATAGATTAAAAGGGTTCCCATGATGATCACTGTATAACTTAATTAAGCTACATGTTTGAGGTGGGATAAATTCTAGTGGACCCAGTAAAATTTCTTTCCCTCAATATATTGGGCTTCATAGCTCAGTTGGTACAATGCCCAAATAATATTTTGGGGGCGGGGCTCAAGAGCTTCACAAGAATTTTTCAGGCCTCTCTGCCTGAAATTTTTTATAACAATGTAATTATATTGAAGGTGTGCAATAATAATGATAATAATGAAATCGATGCAATTCCTTAGTAGCAAAGTCACCAACCTAAGACTTTGTTACACAACATACCTCCTCAAAGATTTTGGTGGTTTTAAGTTCATCTGTTTCCAGTGCAATGTAAGAATCGCCATTTTCACTTTTGACGAAGATGCAATTTTCTGGTGAAGAAAAAATCATTTTTCTAAAGTGAAAACTAATTCCTCATGGAGCAAGTAAATTCATGGAAAATGATAAAATTAAATGCCAATAAACAGATCATTTTTATACAGGTGAAAATTCTATAAATATACAATTGAAAGTATAGAAGGAGTTTTTGAGTCTGAGAGCATATCCATGATATCAAAGGTGGCCTCATATATGGATAGTCTAATGTGTATTATTTGATACAACGCTTAATGGTGGATCAATGTCAATTGATAGTTAATCAGTAATGGTCAACAATGAACCTGACAGCTGACTAAACATCATCCAACAGTTGGCTGACAACTCCACCACAAACTAAGCCTGAAACTAGAATATCTGCCAACTATATGCAGTCAAGGGTTGGTAATGTTAACCATCATGTGGTCATCATACAAATATCAGCTAACAACAAAATATTATGCACTCTTGGGAAAGCATCAAATGTACTTTTCCTTTTTTTTATCAAGTAATGATATACTTTCAAATGTACCTTTAAGTGCTTCATCTTGTTCCATGTGCTCTACTCCAGCACTCTGCTGATCAAGATCAAAGTGAAAGACTTATAAACTTTATAATGTCATTGTTGAATAAGTTGGAAACATGAGTAAAGGCAACTAAGGAGACAGTTTTGGTGTATATATAAAATTGAACAAAAATTGCCATTTATCAATTTACCCCTTTGAAGCCATAAATTTTGATAATTCAGTAACTACTTTTGAAATAAATGACCATTTATTTATTAACTACAGTTAATCACTATTTAAAGGGAATAACTATTATTAACTACTAATTAGTGACAATAATGTAAGAGTCCATAAAATCTTCAAGAAGTTCACTTAAAAACAGGCATTGAATCAATAGCTTTAAGAAAACTATGCATCAAGTTCCATCTATTGACTATTCTGTAATAAAAGGTTCTCTGTCCGCTAGTGGACTTGAAATATGGAATGGTCACCTTTTGTGAATTCCTGGAGGTATGCCCGCTTATTTCTTTTCATGTGATGAACTGAGATGACAGATACTCTGGCATACACCCTGTCAGGCACTTAAAGGCCATGATCAGGGCTTGACACTAAATTTTCAACTTACTAGCCAAGTGGCTAGTCACATCTTAGATGTTTTTAGATGTTACAACAATTTCAGTCTGTTTACTAGCCAAACTGGCTAGTAGAAATTGAAGTTTTACTAATCTGTGGCTAGTGGGCTACCGTTAGTGTCCAGCCCTGCTGTTCATAAATATAGCTGGGTTGCTACTGACATTATGTCATGCAAGTCATGCAACAAGGTGAAACAATGAAAAATGTATGAGCCTTCAGGTAAAATGAATTGAATACACAATGTAATTTGAGCCAATTTGTTTTAGATGAAAATCAGGACCAAGACTTAGAAGACTATGCATGTAATGTGACAACTGTGCTGTTAACATATTGACTTATTTTCTCTACTTCTAGTTTTATAGCACTAGTGCTGGTTCTTTGAATATTGAAAGAAACAATGACAAAAATTCTCAATTTTTTCTCTCAAAAGTTTCTGCAAAAATCTTTCAATACCTCAAACTCTTCCTGACAGAATCTCCATTTTTTTTTCATTTCACTACTGTTTGATCTAGTTTGAATTAAGATGCATGGAAAACAGAACAAGTTTCATTTATAATCATCATGAAGCCCCAAAGTTTCGCAAAATCTTCTAATTCACTCAAAAGTCTGGAAAACAATCTTGCTCCTGTGTCTTATGTTCTAACCTAAAGGACCTGAAACCTTGTCAACTTTTTTTTTTTGATTGTCACTTTTTTTTAGTGATAATAATATACTTAAACTGCACTGTCATCTATTCAACCTGTTACTCTATGTTCCTATATGATTATCTGCAGTTAAAAAATGCATTAGGTTATGAATTTCAACTGCTGAATAATAACATGATTACCACATACGTACCATTTCTTTTGCAATCAAGGAACCCTTTGGGGTCTTCCCTTTCCTCTCTCCTAATGGCACAATTTCAAGATTAAAAGAAAAACATTTAATTATCAAAAAAAGCAATCTTTTTAATTAGACATTGAATGACTTTTAGTGTATGACTGTAAGTGTAACTGCAGTGCCGGAACTGGCTTTAGCAAGAGCAAAGGTGTTAAAACAAAATTATCCTGATGGAGCATAAGATTCCTCAGCAACCACTTTGAGTAAAATGTCAAACTTGATGCATGTGTTGTCAAAAATTTTGAAATAACAACTTATCAAATAACATATGGCATAAGATTGTGATTAAGGTTATCATTTAAGTATTAAGTTGAACAAATTATTAAAATGTTTGTACAAACCGGAAAAAAGTAACTTCCTCCTTTCATTTCCACCTGATAAAAAGGTGGGTGTCTCTGTAATATTCCTTCCTATTTTTTTCCCTCTAGTCCTTCTCAGATTTTCCTTATTCACTTTGGATTTTGGTGTGGTCATCTTTTTGTTCACTTCATAAGTGGACATTGTTGCTGTTCGGTTACTTTGTAGATAGAAGAGATCAGGACATAATGAGGGAAACAATAATTCACATTACAGAGAGACAGAGAACAAAGGATATAAACTACATGTGTATTTGCTGGTCTGTGTGATAAGAGCTTTATATTTTAAGAAGTATGTGATAACATGAGAGGTTGAAGCTAGGGGTAAAGGTGGTGAAGTTTCTGCTTAAGTCTACCGATGATGATGTTGAGACCGGCGATGTTCTCAGATTAGGCATATGCTAGGTGAGATTTTCCGGATACATAAATGTTACCAAATTCATCAATTTAAGGGCTATCGTATTCATAAGTCACTCACTCAGTTTAAAGTAAAAGTGCATCCGGATTCCCAAACGTTTACACAAGTCAATTTTACAAATTGACTATAATCGTCCATTGACTATAACTTAATTGTTCATAGAAATGACGCCAACAATGATCAAAACTATTAAAAGCCACGAGGCGCAGTCGAGTGGTTTCAAGTGCGAAGTGAAGAAGGAAGTACTGAGGCTGAAAAGTAACCAGATTGGTTCTTCAAATCGTTTACACAAATATGCTTTCCGGATTCGAAAGTTTTCGGATTCGAAGTTCACCTTTTTAAATCTCGGATTCAAAATCTCCGGAGACGCGATCAAAGAAGGGACGTTTTATTTCGGATTTGTCTACTTATGTGACGTGTAAGCCGGTAAAACGATTCGGGAACAATTTCTAACAGTGTAAACCTAGTCTTCAGTACTCATTGAAGCAAACAGCGATCAAAACCATTCAACGTTTTCCAGTATTTAATTTCCGCATAAATGTAGACGAAGGGTAAAATCATTTATTTGGTGGAAGTGATGGTCGACTTTCGTTACTGAATTCAAATTAACGCCTTTTCGAAATAATAGATTTCCGTTTATAGCCCCATATTTCATATAAAAGCAGATCATCGAGAAGAAGAATAGAAACAACAGCGAATACAAAAGGATTGCCCTCGGGACTAAAGTTTTGGATTACCTTTGGGAATAAGGCTTGTCTTAGAATATAATTAAATTTACGGAAACCTTTCTATCACCGATTTCATTCTTGTAGATTTGCACGAATCATTAGTTGATTGTTGAGACGACGCTATAAACTTAACTTCAGAGTGTTGTTGGGCCGCACTCAAAATTTAACGTCAATAAAGGAATCCGAACACATGGGACTGTCTTTAAACGTCTTCTAGAACGACCAAACTTAAAGGTGGCTAAAAGAGATGGTAAGAATAATTCAGTCACTTACCTCAAAAAGCTGAGTGAAAGGCAACCACGAAAAAACACTCGAATGGATGATCTGTATCAGTATTTTTGAAAAGACCGCCACCCAGCCACAGAACGACACTGAAGACGCTCATTGATATGCGACTCATAAATTACATTTTTAGTAGAGACCAGTCTCTCACAGTTGTGGCACGATTACAGCAAACTCAGAGCTAGTGTGACTCTACACAGTTCTTCTACAATTTCTTGTTTTAATAATCACTTTTCGACTGATTAGTCTGTCAAAATCAACCTTTCTTTAATAAAAAGGATACAATAGAAAAAGATACATAAAGAGTTGAGTTAAATTGAGTCAATTCATATTTTTCTCTTGACAGTAAGTATTTGGAGTGTTGTGACCTACCTTAGGCCCTTATTAACTCTGCTAGTAAAAGTAGCTTATTATGCTGCGAGCAGTGCCCAGTTTTTTCCAAATGATGCTCATTTTTAAAATTATGCTACCTATAAAATTATGCAAGTGAAAACATTCTTGATATAGTAATTAAAAAACAGAGTTTTAGAACAGTCTCTGTAAAATCGAGTTTCAGACATTTTCGCCACTTTCGCCCGCTGACTCGTTTCCAGGGTTGTGCCTACCTCCTACCATCCCAAGCATAACCACGGAGAACTCAAAATGAGTTTCCGAGTCGACCTGTTTTTCGGAAATACGACGGGGTACGTGTTGACTGAATCTGCTTGAGTTACATATGGCAGCCGAGAAGGGACAGTGATCCAATATATGTTGCAAATCCGTTTAAATATTCAGAATCGCTATCTTTTAGACGAGTCGCTTTTGAAAGGTTGTCGAACCAAGAAAGCGATTTCAAATCCTGTTCTAATTCATAGATCCACAAATAACTTTTACAAAAATCGAAAAAAGTCTACAATCCAAGAATTTTCCTAAATCCAGAAAATTTTGCAAATAGAGAAAAATGTTTTATTATGTACCTCTTATTAACCAAGTTAGAAGTTCCAACTGTAAGTTCTCCGATTTTTTCCGCTTGGATATATGGCTGAAGCGCGAGGACTGTCTTTATAGTCGTCGGTTTGTTCGAAGGGAGCTGGAGTATTAAGGTTAAGTTAGCCTCTACGGTGGATACAAGACAGTTAAACCTGAATTGATTCAAAGGGTTGGATGACCCCATTACAGCGGCTGAACTCAATTTCATATTTACATGCACTTCAGAACCAGACGAAAAATACTGTCACACGTCTCGATATTTTCGTTTAAAGAGGAAAATGCGTCAAAATCACAATAACCACGTGTTCTATATCTGTATTTTAATACAGATATAGAACACGTGGTTATTGTTATTAAAATAAGCTCCCTAAATGAGACAGCTTAGGCAAGAGATCTATCATTTTCCACGGATGAGCGTGGACATAACTTCGCTTGATCAGAATGATATTTGCGGCAATACACAATATCCATTAGAAGTTATTTTCACTTAAGTCGCAATTTCCCAACCATGTCATCTGTCGTTGTTCTTAATGATCAAAATGAAACTTTGGAAATCTGATCATTTCACTATTGATACAACTTCTGACCTCTAAACTTTCGACAATCATGGATCTATTATCAACATTTCATTTACTTTCTTTATAATCGGCAAAGGTGCAATTGAGCCTCCTGGACAAAACACCGAGGTCGACAGTTGCTGATGAACCTATGGATATCGTTCCAGACACAAATGAGGATTCAAGCATCGGCAATTGATGTTCTGAAAACTATTCGTTCTCTTGAAGTAATGTATCGGGCCCGGTCGAGACATTTCGAGCGTTAGCCCTTCGTCAGAGCGAATGCAAAAAAAAAGAGGATTTGTTTTGGGTGCCGAGACTTGCGAAGACTTGCCACGTATCTATGAGAGTGAGAAGAAAACTAAAAATCTTCCATTTGCATGGTCAAGTTTTTACTTGGTGGGTTGGTGAATGTCTGATGTGAGAGGGCTTCAAGAACAAGATTCCTTATGAATTATTTTCATAATTAAAACGGAATAATTGAAATTGAACACCAATTAACTGAAACTTCTGCAAACTCGAAAAACCAATAAATTTTTTGTTCTGGCAAACAAAAATAATATATTGCATCTAGCTAATCGAGTAGACGAGAGTGGGAATGACAACGCTGATACGAACTTATTGGAAAAAAGTTATAAATCCAGGAATAACCTCGTTTGTTTGAATACACTAAAATTTAACCACTGACATGTCTCATATTAACTCAACGCTCGGGAACGGCTTGGTCAACCCATGAAAACACCATGCACATAAAAAGAACCAGTGCACAATTTTAGTATATTCTCACGTCCGTTGTGTTTTAATGCCTTGCTGCTTTCCTCTGCTTGACGTAAAATCTCTCTAAATTCTGGGAACGAGAATCTTGAATTCTATTCCTGATTTAGTTACCATGCACACTAATAAAAGGGGGAGTAATGAAATTAGATGTTGAATGCCAGACATTGCCATTTCAAATCATTATCTATGTGCTTTTTAAATTATCAAAAAACTGAAGTTGTTTATATTGTTAAGTGATCTGTAAAAAGATGAAAGTTAAAGCAACGTTGATTTCGATTCAGTCTAAAACAAATATTTAAATATTAACCGCCAAAAGTCGAGGGAAGCATTTGTTAGTTTTAACGATCCCTGAATAATTTCATATTTGTGGACTAAGGGTGACTAAGTGTGCACATGAGTAACATGAGAACTAAATAAATATTCCTAAACTTTTCATATAAGTGCCTTGTCTAAGTAACAAAGATAAAGCTGAGTTATTTAAGAACTATTTTAATTCAGTTTTTAAGGGTGATGACAGTGTCCCTTTCTATGAAGACTGCTTTCTCGATGACTTTGATGTTGGTGCCGATATTTTGAATAACATCGAAGAGTTAAACATCTGTAAATTCTGCGGTCCAGATAATGTAACATCTCGAGTGTGCAGATTCGATTTCATCTCCTCTTTTTACCTTGTTCAACAATCAACTCGGTAGTGGTTGTTTTCCAAAAATGTGGAAGGTGGCTAATCTGGTTCCAGTTTTTAAGTCTGGTGACAAGGAAATGGTTGAAAACTATAGAGGGATATCATTACTGTGTATCATCTCCAAAGTCCTTGAAAAGTGCGTTTTTCAAGTGCGTTTTTTCATGTTTTTCCCTTTATCCAACCTAAACTTTACCATCTACAAGACGGCTTTGTTAAAGGACGTTCATGTGTTACAAGTCTTCTCAGATCTACATTTATCTTTGCCAAAGCACTTGATGAGAAGAAACAGCGTGATGTGGTATTTCTGGATTACAGTAAAGCATTTGATTCTGTATCATTTAACTGCTTACTAAGGGAACTGTATGGCGTTGGTATAAGAGGGAACTTGCTATCTTGGTTTAAAAGTTATTTCACAGATCGTTTGCATATGACAGTTATAGATGGCCGAGCATCTTCTTTACTGCCTATTTCATCCGGTGTGCCCCAGGAGTCTATCCTGGGACCTTTGTTGTTTATAATATGTATTAACAGTGCCCTATGTGTGACAGATGCTAAGACTACTGTCCAACTCTATGCAGATGATATGAAGTGTTATCGAGTTATTGATAACGGTGCTGACGCAGTTCAACTACAAAGAGACTTACTAAGCTTAACTGGTTGGTCGTCTGAGCATTTCATGACTTTCAACGCTAATAAGTGTAAGCACCTTGTCGTGACAAAGAAAAACAGTTTTATTCACACATCATATAATCTGAGCGGGTCACAGATTGAGAAAGATCTAGGCGTTCATGTTTCTTCGAATTTATTCTGGAACGATCCCATTGACTTTGTTATAAGTAAGGTAAATAAGATGTTGGGTATTATCTACAGAACGTGCACCATTGATTGCGACCAAAAAACTAAGTTGATTCTATACAAATAGTTGGTACGACCGCAGCTGGAGTACGCATCTCAAGTTTGGTCTCCCTATAGTAAAGAAAAAATTAAGGCCCTTGAGCGTGTTCAAAGGCGTGCCACCAAATTTATCTTGAAATGTGATTTAACTTATCCAGAACGTTTACTTAAATTAGGTCTTTTGCCTCTCGAGTTTAGAAGGGAGGTTTTAGATTTATGTTTCTTTTTTAAATGTCTGAAGGGGCACATCGATTTTGACGTCCTATTATCTGTTATCTTCAAATCATATAAGTACGATGTGAGGAATACAGAACCATACTTGCCAAGGGTCGTTTTAGAACCGATGTTTTTAAATTCTCATTTTTTAATCGCATTGTGAATTTATGGAATGGCCTGCCTGTAGCTATTAGGACAATTGATCGAGTATCATTGTTTAGTAAGAAAGTAAGAAAGTGAATCAGTTTTATATCAGTAAATTTAACTTAAGTAAGGATAAATTTTTATAGTTTTTGATTATGTATTGTTGTTGCTATTTGTCTATGTTAGTTTTTAATTTTTTTTGTATTTTATCACAGGCAGTTTATTTAAAATAAGGAATCTATAATTCTGTATAAACTGGCCTCATTACTCAGATATCTCTTTTTTATACTTGTATATATATTTAACTCCTTGTTTTTGTTTTTTTTTGAATATCCTGTCACGTTGGGAGAATTGGAGAAGTCAACTGCCTCTTTTAGAGACAATCAGCATTCCAAGGTGTTTCAAGCCCTCAGACTTTGGCAAGGTGGTTTCAGCACAATTGAACAATTTGTCAGATGCCTCAGGATCGGGATACGGGCAATGCTCATATCTACGTTTAGTTGATGACAACAATCGTATACATTGCTCCTTTGTCATGGGCAATGCACACGTCGCACCAAGGAAAACAGTAGGCATCCCCAGGCTAGAATTAGCAGCGGCTGTTGTTTCGGTAAAGGTAGCTGATGTGCTGAAGAATGAGTTGAACTATCAGAGAATCGAAGAAAGTTATTGGATTGACAGCAAGGCAGTTCTTGGGTTCATCAACAACGAGTCCCGAAGATTTCATGTTTACGTGGCAAATAGAATGCAGCTGATAGGAGATTACACTTCGCCATCACAGTGGCGGTATGTTGAGTCTGCATTCAATCCAGCAGATGAAGGTTCAGCAGATGAAGATCTGAACGCAAGACATTTTCTACAGAAATCCCAATAGATTAAAGGCCCGGATTTCTTATGGAAAAGTGAAAACCACGGGCCGGAGCAAGATTCATATGAAAAGGAGCTCGACCCTAGTGGTCCAGAAGTGAAGAAGATCACTGTACATACTACTGTTTCTGAAAGAAAGAAAGAGGTTAGAAAGATTCTCCAGCTGGAAAAGGCTAAAAACAGCAATCGCGTTGTGTATCAAGTACAAACAGCAGGTGAAGATGAGAGTAAATGAAGCAATAAGCAGATCTCCTGTGAAAGGAACCTCTCAGAGTGCACCCAACAGTGGACAGAAATGTGATAGTAAAGATTGCCCTGTTGTCACATCTGTTATGGTGAATGACTTAGAATAAGCTGAAGTTCAAGTCATCCAACTAGTGCAAGCTGACGCCTTCGAAAGAGAAATTAACGCATTAAAAGAGCTTCAAGCTGAAGTGAAGGGTGGAAGTCGACAATGCGATAAAGAGAAGAAGGTTGCTATGAAGAAAACCAGCCGTCTAGATACACTGGATCCATTCTTAGAGTGCAATCGTGTTTTGAGAGTTGGAGGACGGATCAAGAAAGCCAACTTGTCAGATAGTCTTAAAAATCCTGTCATTTTGCCTCAGGCTGGCCACGTTACCCAGCTGATTATCCGTCATGTTCACGAGAAGACACAACACAGTGGGCGAGGTGTCACTTTAAATGAGTTACGCACAAATGGTTACTGGATCATAAATGGAAATGCAGCTGTCCAGCATTTCATCTCAAAATGTGTCACATGTCGTTATCTCCGTGGAGGTGCAGGAGAGCAAAAGATGACTAATCTTCCAAAGTCACGCGTTGAGCCTGCGCCGTCATTTACTTACAGTGCGGTTGATTATTTCGGACCGTGGTGTGTGAAAGAGGGCCGGAAAGAAGTAAAAAGGTATGGAGCCTTGTTTACATGTATGACTAGTCGTGCCATACACATAGAAGTAGCACACTCCTTGGAAACATATTCATTCCTGCAAGCGTTATGGAGGTTTATTTCTCGAAGAGGGCCCATAAGAGAATTAGGTAGTGATCAACGAACTAACTTTATAGGAGCTCAAAACGAATTGAAGAAGGCGCTACAAGACATGGATGACGATCAGATTAAGGTAGAGCTACTGAAGAATGACATCGATTGGGTTAGGAATCCTGCCACAGCAAGCAATTTTGGGGGAGTATGGGAGAGACAAATTAGATCTGCGAGGAACATTATGGCAGCGCTAATGAGAGAACACGGCCACAGTTTGGATGATGAAGCGTTGAGAACCCTAATGTGCGAAACAGAAGCGGTTGTAAACAATCGACCCCTAACGGTGGACATCTTGAGTGATCCTCTTTCGCCGCTACCGCTTACCCCAAGTACCCCTCTCACCGGTAAAACAAAGCTTATTTTGCCACGTCCAGGAAAGTTCCAAAAGGAAGATGATTGTAAACAGCGCTGGAGACGTGTTGAGCACATTGCAAATGAATTTTGGACACGATGGAGCAAAGGGTACTTGCAAAGTCTACAAGTGAGAAACAAGTGGACACGTCAACGAAGAAACTTCATTGAAGGTGATGTTGTATTGCTGAAAGACAGCAACACTTGCAGAAATAAGTGGTCCCTGGCCAAAGTACCTTTCCAGATGACCAAGGTCAAATCCGATCAGTGACTGTCCGAACTTCGAAGGGATCCCTACTGGAGCGGCCCATCAACAAACTTGTCCTTTTGTTAGAGTCAAATGAAGAGAGACCGGGAATCCCTGACGGATAGGAGGGAGCGCAATACATTGTCATAAAAATATAATAATTGCAAAAAGAACTTATAAGCTTTTATCTTTAGCAGCTGGTTTATTTTTCAGTCTTTTTTAAATGGCAGTTAAATTTTGAATATTCTTGTCTCAGAATGCAAGCCATGTTCCGCACAATGGCTACTGGTCTACCACCACGGTGGAAATGGAAATGGAATTTCCGGATCGAAATTTTCGCTGGTCTCCGCCGTTTTATCAGGGGCTCGAGTTCGGGTGGTGATAGATAGGTACAGCACAGAAGCCGATAGTGCGCATGTCTTCGGCCATCACGTATTTGCTCAACTGCTACAACACGTTAGGAAAGCCTCCTGGTACAAGTTTCAAGATAATGCCTACTGGTGGTGGGTGATTGTGTCCACCAATGGGAATATGGAAATGGCGAGGTATAACGTTGGCTCAAACACACATCGTGGAACCAACGATAAAAAAGTGAGCATCTGGTGGTATGTGCAGACATCTTCGTTCGTTCCAATGCCATCATACTCCCACCTAGCCGATGGCAGCACAGTGTAGGGTAAGTTGACTAACCTGGTAAACAGTGTTAAGAATGGCCATGAAATTCGATGCGTGACTGCTAAGAAGTATACCTTTCCGCTTCAAAATGTCGCGATCAACAGCCAGGGTGTCAATTTCGTTTCAGGGAAAAATGTGGACCACATAAGTATCAAAACGAGCGGTAATGTGATAAAATTTCAGAGTAACGCCTACTAGTGGTCTGGTGTAGTAACTACCCGCTGATTGCGCGACATGTCACGCTGGACTGTTGGAATCCATCAGCCTCGAGGTCACAATCAGGACAAAGTGGCAAATGAATGGTTTGCGGACGAATGCTGGAAGGAGGTCTTCACCTACGATAGCAAAGGTTCATCTCTTTTGGGATCGCGCCAGGCACTAATGTCGGCCCTCATGTCTGGTCATCGTGTCCGTTTTCAGATTCCACAGTGGAATTACTACACAGCAGAAGCTCTGTCCTTGCGAAATTCCCATGTGACGGCCCAGGCACTTAAACACGTAAATAAAAACAGACTTACTGGGTTCCAAGGTGACGCATATTGGTACTGGCTTATGGTCTCAACCACAGGAACCGTCCGTTCCGCGAGATACAACGTTGGAGGACATAAGCATCGCGGAGATTCTAAGCACAAGCTGTCCGTGAAGTGGTACGTTGACACTAGGCCTTGGAAACAGGTTTTGTCCAACGGCCCAACAGGCAATGTCCTTAGCGGAGACCGCAGTGATCTTGTTCAGGCCGTCAGAGACGGAGCAGCTGTACGCTGCGTGCAAGGGAATGAGTGTCGGGGCTACGTGTACAATGCTCAAAACCTTGCTGTGTCTCCAGATGGAAACCACGTGGCTGCTCAGGCTCTCAACCATGTTAGCATGCGGTCAGCACCCGACCCCGACGAACTTATGATTAGTCCTAACGCTTACTGGTGGTTTACAATTGTGTCCACAACTGGTTGGAGGGAGATGTCTCGCTGGACCGTTGGTGAGCATGTGGATCGAGGACATACCTCCAACAAAATTGGCCAGAAGTGGTTCGTAAACCATTGAGTTAAATCACGTCCTGATGTGCGAAACGTTGAATTGGCAAACGAACTGTATCGTACGTTTAGAATAGTTGCAGCGAGGCTCCAAAAAATTTAAGGAACTCATTGATTCTTGTTCCTGCTTCTCTATAGAGCTAGCTTAAAAGAAATGTAACGATCGCTTGTTACTTTTGACTACAGTTAGCCAACGCTCTACATCTTGTTCCTTTTTGTGGAATTATGTCTTTACTGGGGTGACTCAGTAAGTGGTTCATGAATAAAATGTGAATCCACAAGAAAACCAAGCTGACTGATTTAAGTGTAGAAACATCGACATAAGGGTTGAGCTTGACCTCGATGAACTTGGGTTAATTGAAGTGTCCGAGAATTGACAGGTCACAATTTTGTTACGTATTTACGCATTTTGGTTTTTCCCGCTATCGAATTTGACATCGTTTTCTATGAAAAGAGCCAATATGGAGAATAAAAAGATCATAATGTTTCTTCGCTGAGCGGTTATTCGATGGTCTTGAAAGGGAACAGTGGGCAAAGACGTGCTCGTGAAAAACTCGTCAAGAGGGTTTCGGTGATAAACTTTATTTCACGTATATATCTTTGCACTTGGCACGAGTGTTCACTGACAACTGCATGTAAAAGTGCCTAATGACAAATTAACTGTTGGTTACGAACCACCGTTTATTGTAAGATACCCCTTATCTTATCTTGTGATTGCTTAGTAGTATACTTTAAACGGGTTCTATGGAAGAATCAAACTTTACTCCAGTCTAGTTCGTCTGCGCTCTCTACTTGGTCAAGCGAAGACCCTCCTTCAAGATGTACCATCACTGAAAGACAACCTTTTTCTCTCCAGATCCCAGTCAGACGATGGAGCGACAAAAAATGCTTAGGAACTAGATGGCTACAAATTTTAAAATTACGAAAACTTGACTAATTCGTAAAACGAAAAAGATGACTAATTCTGCTTAAAAACCGGTGGTAGATTTCTTAGTAACTCTCTTAGAGTCGCGTGATCGAAAGGTGACTGCACTATGTGTTTTCCCTTCGTTAATCCACTTGACCGTCAAAAGAAAGTTCTCGTGCAGTTAATGTTTATCTAAGAGTTCATGGAGAGGAAATGACGAAAGTATCATCATAAATTTAGCAGCACTTGGAGTTCAGATTAACATGCATTTTAAAGAAAGAAAATTGCGTTCGCCATCAGTCGAATGGGTACGGAGGTCAGCGTTAATTAGGGTTAGAGTACCAAGAGTACTCAATAAGTCTTAAACCTTTTCTCGAACCATGACTCCATTACTCAGTTCCTAACACAGCTGTTAGCTTGTAATATCTTCTATTTTTTCTAAGTTTGGGCTAAATCGGTTATTTGAGTTTTAAAAACCTCTTGCCTGGTTCTCCCATGGAAGCACTAAAAATCAAGAAAAACATTCACTTCCCCCCCCCCATAATGAAATGGAGCAATATTACTGGTTATTGAAAGTTTCCTAATAACTTTTGCTTTCTCATCTAAAAGTTATAAGATAATCTGGATAACACTGGTTATCGTAGAACACAACAAATATAGTCGGATTTGTGGGGTTATCCACAACACTGTCATAAGCATCTGTAGCGTCACTCCCCTTGGGAGGCGGAGTTATCATTCCCTGTCGTCCGGTCGTGTATTCACCGGCAAGGACGCGTGCAAGATATATGTGACGGTTTCCAGTTGCATCGGGTGGAGAATACGTCTTTTGAGTGGAATAGGAAGCGTCTCGAGCAAAGTAAACACCATTTCCGTACACAGTGGCTAAAAATTATAAAACCAACCGTAACTTACATCGTCTTTAAATTCTTATGAAATAATTTGGATATATCAACAAAGTTGAAATGGTAAATTGGCCACCGTAACGTACATTGGCCTTCGCTCCGACGAAGGGCTAACGCTCGAAACGTCAGCTTTTGTAATCGTTACGGTGGCCAATTTACCATTTCAACTTTGTTGATATATCCAAATTATTTCGTTACTCCCACCGACGCAGCCCCAAACAGTTCCTTTCGAAACTATCAGCCTTCAATTCTTATGGGCATTTAAGTTAAATTAATTTTCTTTCTGATAACATGCAAACATTCCATGCTGTTTAGATGCTAATTCAAGGCTAGTTAGCTTTGCAGTGAATGTGTAGAACAAGATTTTAAGACGATCTCTTTGACATTTCAAATTCGAGTGATCGCCAAAAGTATTGATCTTAAGAAGGACACAAGGGACGAAATATTCGCGCCTATAAATAAAATGTCGGCCTCCTGAGTCGATTCTCTTGAAATATGTCAGTCGTGAAGGATATTTTTGATAATCCCATGAAGTTGTCTTTTTTCCGGGAAATGAAGACACTAAATTTGACGTAGGTATAAAATTTTAAATAACAATGAACTAAATAATTACCATTTTTGCCACAATAGCTTCTGTTGAAACCGAATTTGCTGAGGGTGGGGCAACTGCTTGCCGCCGTTCCATGGAAGAGTTGTTTTTCATTGCCACCATTTTTATGCTCCATCTGGTCCCTTCTGACCATGTACTGCCGGTATAGGACAGGGTTTTGCACCCTTTCGATCTTGATAATGTTAACAGGAGACGTCTTGCGTACTTCGTCTGCTACCTTTTTGTACTCGCTCGCGTTAGGGTCTAATAACACTAGATGTACTTCTTTCTCTTTTCCAGAGCCATCCTTTGGGTGCACATCCCACTCCAAGGGTAATGGAACACCTGATTTAAAATATTTCATTTGACTTGAAATTCATACTTATTAGCAAGGTTAAATTTACGATTGAGATAACATGCAAACGACTTTGTTATCAGTGTGCATAACTGTTAATTAGCATTACTTTTCAGTTCAGCTGCACCGTACCTTTCCCAATCTCCTTTCGAACAACGACTCTCACTTCTCCATCGTCAAGGCAGGTTTCCGTCATGTCTTTGAACGCAATCTTGCATTTTGCTTCATCAATTAATACAATAAGGGAATCTTTGCCCTCACGAAAGGCTTCTTCAATCTGGAAATTAATGCTGGGCTCATAGGGCTCTGGGGTTTCATCACCATCGCTGCCATATGAGAACCACTGTACATTTTTCGAAAGGAGCTCACCAACACCTTTCGTGTGCTCTTCCTCAATCTTCTGGTTGAGTACGTCGTAAATTGTGGTGGCTACATCAAGAACGTCTTCTGCATCACCTCTTACAGATATACGACCAATGCTCTGCTCCAGGTTAACAGTGACGTCGTATTCAGCTTCCAATTTCTTAATTTGTTGTGTTTGCTCCTTTGAAAGATTACATATGGCTTCACGTTCAATTACTTTCTGTGTGCAGTGATCGGCCACATCCTTTTCTATTTTCTTGATGACTGCGTCGATGTCTTGCTTTGTGCCTGCAAAGATTTCTATGTAGCTGAAAGGCTTTCCTTTTCCTTGAAAAATGCGCATAGATGACATAGAATGTGAAGACGCTGAGGTAATTCGTCCAAATCCAAACCATCCAGCAAGCTTTGAGAGAAAACCGGTTCCACCTTTTTCAGAAGACAAGCTCGCTTCCATTGCAGTTTGGAAAACAGTTAACATATGAGGCTGATAGATTACAATACGAACAAGAGCAATGGATACAGGTTCCTCTCGAGCAAATTTGAAAATAGCAGACATCATCCCCTCTGCAGCCTCTTTTGCATCTTTATTTATGTTCCCTGTTCCAACGGCTGGGAATGAAATCGAGGTCAATCCATCCGACTCAGCTTTTCGCAAACACTCTAAAATGCAGTCAGTGATGGAATGCATGCTCGTGCCGTAATCTGGAACCATGTGGTAGATTTTTCCAACTTGTAGCTTTCCGGCTCCAGAAACTACAACAGAGCCTGGCTTCTGGGACCCCATAGATGAGCATTCTGTTTGAATAGTTGGTCCTCCAGCAGCTAGGATAGCCTTTCCCACACCACCCCCTAGTGCAACATCCAGCTCGCTGTTTGACAATGTCGCGATTGCATCGGTTGCTTCTTTCGTGATGTTACCAGTCTCAGCTTGAACGACTACATTGCCAATCATTATTTCAGGTTGTAAGGGATTTAACATCATGGGCTCTTCTTCCAAGGTATCGCCAACGTCATCAGGGGTATCTAAATCAGATCGTTTGGTGTTACCACCGCGCCAACCTCGACGTTTCTTCTTTCCATGTTTCGGATCCACTGTTCCTGCTGGTGGCTGCGGTGGAGGTGGGCCTACCCCACCTCTTTTTTGTAGTTCGGTCTGGAAGGCTTGCAATGATTGCAAATCTTTATCATACACGACTAAATGGACTGCCTTCAAAGAGGTGCTTGGATTTTTCTTACTGAAGACAACAGCTTCGTCAAAGGAAGCTGCAGCCACGCAATCACGGGGAAAATTGAGGTTACCAGTCCCAATTGCAGGGATGGAAATAGTTGAGAGACTCCTCTTTTGAGCTTCTTCGAGACATTTCTTTATGATATCTCGCAGTACCTGTATACAAGGTGTTCAGGCGTCATTATGAAAGCAGATAATCATAACGATGGTGACTAGGTTAAATTTCCAATTCTTTTCCTCTTGAACTAGCACATTAAAACAGAAACGATTTGAAGGTGTTTCGCAATACAATTGCTGCTTTTGTTCCTTTCAGGTAATTTAATAATAAGTTCTTATATAGCGCATTAAAATTGAACTCTATGCGCTTAAGGTAGGGCATATTTCAACCATATCTATTTCAGCCTACTTTAAAACAATGGGACCGTACTCTGTGTTGGAATTTGTTCGCATGGATGGGCCTCCTTTGTTAATGCAGGAGGGTAAGTAAGAAGAAATAAGCAAATCTATAAAATTTGCCATTGCAAGAAAAAAAGTTGATAGTTGTTCTTACCTTTTCGCCCGCTCCGTTCTCCCATCCAGCGCATGAAGTGTGGAAAACGTGCTTACACGCTAGATTTGCTCCGCTTGTTACCACAATCTCTCCGGTATCTACTTTACCAATCGTGTTACACTCTTGTTGTAGCCTGGGGCCTGCAGCGGCACTCAGGGCCATAGCACTTGCGTTTGCACTAAGATTGAGGTCCGATGACGTGGAGTTAACGATAACATCAACCTGAAGAAAGCCAGCAAGAGATGTTTTTGTCATGTTTTACAATTAGGCACTTGATGAGAACCCAATGTAAAGATCTGTTTAGACAGCTGCTTCCAGGCTCGGTGACTACCATCACTATTCACCTCCACATCGGTGAACAATTGTTCAAGAAATCTCATTGGAATCAGTCTAATTTTGAAGAACATTATGCGACTTACCTTTTCACAATACATGTCACCAATGACAAGAACCAATTCTAAGCCTTCTGGTGTCTTGATAACATTTGGAGCGGTATTGGAAGAAACTATTGCCGGGGACATATCTGGGATTGATGTGGCTCTGCCTTTTTCTTTTGTATCTTTTTCCTTCCTTTTTGGGTCTAAGGACGATTGATAATTGGGATCGTTAAGAAATCTGGAATCCATCTCTTTTGCAAAAGCCTTTACCACACTTTCATCGGTACTGGTAAACTGGACCTCGGATAGGAAACAACTCGGGTTTTCTCGGAAAAAAGCCAGCACAGATTCTACCATAAAGTGGGCGCACAGTTCGCGTGGAAATTCAAAGACGCCTGTGCCGATGGCAGGAATGGCTACCGAGTTATAGCTCTTTGCAACATCCAGGGCATTTTTTAATGCATAGCTTAACTTCTTCTCCTGTATTGGAATTTTCCCCATTGATTTTTCCTGTGCTGCCTTTTTCTCCCATTGTGGCCCCACAGCATGAATTACTTTTTGAAAGGGTAATTTTCCGGCAGACGTTACAGCCACTTGGCCATCCAAAAGTGGTCCGGCGTCAACGATAAAGCGATCACACTCTGCCCTGAACGCCTCTCCCGCCCTCTCATAAATTGCTTTTGAGACACCACCCACGTGCTGAAGCTTTGAATTAGCAGCATTCACAATCACATTGACGTTGCGATTGCATATGTTGTCTTTGAAAACCAGAATTCTTTTTCCATCCGGAGTAAGAAGGTCGCACAAACTCTCCTTCTTCTTTTCTGCTTTCTTTACTTCTTTAACTTCCTTTGCACCCGCTTTGCGTAGTTTACAGTATTCAATTACACATTCATTTTCATTCTCCAACATGGCTAGTAATTTTTGGCCTTTGCCTCGATCAAGCACTTTACGCATCCCAGGCTTGCTGACAAGCATCTTTTGACTTTGAACTTTAGATGCCAGATCTTGAATCAGCTCCGTAGCTTTGTCAACTCCACAGGTCGTACCTGAAACAATCAAATCCTTTTCATCTTCATCAACCAAACTCTTTATTCGCGTGGAATACTCTTTTAGTTCCTCTTGTATTTGTCGAAGTTCCTGTTCGCGGTATTTTACAAGAAATCGGCGACAGCCTTTTGGAAGTGTCACAACGCTGCTTATAATGGTATTTTCTTCAAGGAAACGATTGACAGCCTTAACAACATCCGAAACATCCTCTTTTACGCCCAAGAGACATATCTTCTTATTGCTTTCATCAAATGACAGTGTTATAATGCGTTTTTCTCTCATCTCTTCTCTTAACAGATGCCACTTTTCGCTTTTCTCTAGCTGAACTTGGTCTTCGTCCAGGTCGACGCATTCTTCAACTATCAAAGTTTTCACTAGATCGAGAGCTTTCTCTGTAATGTCACTTTCCGTCCCCAGGACAAATAGATTTCCCTCTTTCTCGTCAGAGGCTATTATGGCTTGTAAATTGTTGGCTGTGAACATATCTCTTATGAATGCCTGACAGGGCGTGCTCCTCAGTAGGGCGAGATGATTCCGTGGCAGGTTCAGCTTCACGTCTTTCATTTTAGCAACTGCTTCCCAAATCGCTGCTGTAACCTTATGGATGGTTTCAGGAGGACCTCGAATTTGAACCACTCCCTTTTCAGGGAGAATGGTGACTTCAACTTCTTCGTGTTGACTTTCCAGTTCCTTGGCAAATTCGAGATGTTTCAAAAACTGCAGACGCGTATATGGAATAACGACTGTTCTTTCTATTTTTGATGCCTCTCTCTTCAGCCTTTTGTCAATCTCTTCTATCATTCCTTCTAATTCTTCAGTAACATCCTCGACGTCTTGCTTCTTCCCAATTAGAAGAAAGGCGTGCTGCTCAGGGATACAATCCACTCTTAGATTTTCCTGTGCCGGACTTTTAGTTTTCTTGAAGTGGTCGACAACATGATTCCAAGCCTGCGGAGGTACACGCGTAGAACTTTTAACAAAGTCAGCAATAAAAGAAGCAATAGCCTCACATGCTTCATCAAAGCTGTGCTTGTCTCCTGAGGCCTTATCTTTGGGCGTGACCGTGACGCTGTGGGTGCTTTCATCCCAGGTCATCTGAACATCGTAGCTGTTCTGAACCTCTGTCAAATCAACTTTGCAGTGTTCCAAAATGAACTGCATTTTCATTCCGTCGACAGCGATATTTTGGACCAGTTCAATATCAGCTTTGACTGGCTGAGGTTTCCCAAGCAACGAGTAATGAGGCCTGACATCCAACTCTGCACCACTAAGGAAGTGACTTTTCGCCACGACGTTGAGAACAACTGAAATAGATGAATAAATATTTTCAGGCCATTAGAAAGAAAGAAAGAAAGTCTGCTTCTAAGTGTCTTAGTTCTTGACTGCTGACTACTCCCTAAATCATAATTATTTGGACCTGTGTTTAAGATGTTTAAGATATCACATAACGAATTGATCCTCACAGAGTGGCTGCTGTTAAAGTCATGAAAGAGAGATGAAACGGTTGTGCTTACTCATCGTGGTAAAGTACAATAATGATAAAGGTATTATCGTTATTCTCACGATATAGTCACTTATGATGCGGATCGTGACGTTCGACTGCATGCTGCTAGTCTTCATGCTGTGTGCACGCTCACAACGGACACCAACCGTTTTGGAATGAGGTTAAGTTTATTGATCGTCCTCGTCACTGGTATACTCACAGGGTCAAAGAGGCTATTCAAAAAAGACTTCACCCTAACAACATTAACAAGGACAGTGGAATAGAACTTCCTGAAGCGTGGATGGCCACGTTAAAAAATTACAACAACAGGAGAGCCGTACGACAGCGGACTGCTGAGACGAAAACTCATTAACATCGAGGATCGACACGCGCCAATCACAGCTGTGGAATACCAACCAATCAGAGCGGAGCATCCTGTTTTATAAGACCCGAAACCTGTCGCCTTTATCGCGTGACGGAGACTAGCAATATGCAGTCGAAACGTTGCCGTCCACATCAGAAGCGACCATACAGTGAGACAAACGATGATAACCTTAATAYTATTGAAAGAGAGATAATTTGGAAAAAAACAAATTGGGCTTCCAGATAGTAGTTGGGAAGTTTTACCGATTTTGTCACGAAGTTGCGTAGTGGAAGCGAGGTGCTCTCTCTACAGGAATCTTATCAAACACGGTATTTAAAAAATGGATCTTATTTTAAATTCCGATTAAGATTAGAGGTAACACAATGATCTCCACAGCTCAACTGCAACTATAGTCTTTCCAGAGGGTGGTAATGGCTTTGATTGTATTTAATTAATGAGGGTTAGCTTGCTACTTGCTAGTTCTTATGGGTTATCCTAAGGGTTGGTAGACCCACAACAGATATCCTGTAGACAGCGTGAACTAATCGTTATCTCTTGTGGGCTGGTGTTTGACTGAGACTGAATATTAGGCGTTTCTTAATACATCAGGCAGGGATAACTGGGACATTTTTTTTTTAAACCGAGTGACCTGAGAGTAACCTAGGTAAGTTATATTACACACCTTTTGGGTCTTCGAAGTAAACCAACGCCCATCCTTCTTTTAGATTGAGCTCCACGCTGCTTACATCACCACCTTTGTTCTTTGGACTTTCGAAGTAGTAGCGCACGGTATCCTTAGTGGTTTTTTCTTTGTTGAAACCTGATACTTGCACACAGTGACAAACTGGAAGTTGCTCTACCACCGGAGTTTTGCCTTCCAGTGGCTTCCTGGAGATTTTCTTTGTAACAGCTTCGTAATCTATATATTTTCGGAAGACAAATATATTTAAACATTAAGAGAAAAATGCTTTAAACTATTTCAAAACGAAACATTAAATTAGATTTGAAGCATCTTAGGAATACAGTAAGACTGTAGGAGGAGCAGTCAAGCTATTGTTTAGATAATTTAAAATTACATATCAGATTAGTAACACTTTGAACGTGTAATCGTATATCAGTGCAATATTCGTCGTTTTTGAAAACGGGATTTGAAGATTGAAGCTGGGCCCATTTCACGAGATCAGGCCCTAACAGCGAGCCTTAGAAATTCACTAGCTACATAGATTTACCACTCAATGAAAATTAGCAACAAAAAGAAACACTGTTAAAGATACACAAGGCTATGCAAACTCCACTTCTACTAAATTAGGATTCGTATTTCCTCGAATGAGCGTATATTAAAAATTTCGGTTAAAAGGAGGGGCGCTTTTTAGAAGGAAGGCGCATAATCCAGGGGGGGAGGCTTATTGAGAAACTTTTAATAATAAATACTGATTCCGCTGTAGTTGAAGCTCAGATAAATTGACAATTGGAGGGAGAGGGTGCGGTTATGCTAGGGGGTATCTGTTTAATATTAATATGGCCTCAGGGATGGGCGCTTCTTTGGGGTAGGGCACTTATTGGAGCGTCGGCGCTTATCAAGGAAATACGAAAATTTATTCCTTCCTGTTGTCATACGGGTTTGTTTTGCTAGGAATGTCAACATACCATAGTATTCATCGAAGGTAACTATTGCACATGCTTCACCTCCCAACTCAGCAGTCAGGACATCCACTCCACTTACTACTTCCATGTAAGATTGAAGAGCGTCTGAGGTAGTTTTATCGCTAAGGCCTTTAACAAAGAGTCGTCTTGTGTCCATAGGTAGTTTCCGTGGGGGTTGTTTGAGGGTAATCGTGAGATTCGCTCCATCGTAAGTAAGACTTCCCTTACTGATGACTCCAAGAGCACCTTCAGGTAAGAAAACAGAGTAAATGACTTTATTCAAACAGGCAAACACACGAACAACTGTGAGAGCAAAAAGAAAACCAGGCAAAAATATAGCACGACAGTTTGGGATGATAACTTATGCAAATCGTTTGTAAGGTTTCATCCTTACATAGACAAGCCGTAAGCCCGTTCGCTTTGATTGAGCTCAAAATAAATAAATAAATAAATAAATAAATAAATAAGATTGACGAGGCTCATTCAATCTAAGTCTTAAAAATAATTTTTGTAAAATGGTGCTATTTCTTTTGGTTCTACTTCATGGAAGTCAAGAGAGGATCCCCTTCATCTTAACGGAAGTAGAATGAAGTGATGTCACACAAGCAGTGGTACACGACACTAAGGTAAGACTGTAGATAGTTAGATGACATTTCCTCGAGACTTACTTTCGGCCGTAGTAAAGGTAATGACAGCCGTTGCTTGGTCTGAATCAAAATCAACAATTTCTATTTCTCCTCCTCCAGAACGCCGCTTGTTCTCGAAGAAATTCCAAATAGCGTCTTTGGTCGTTGTCGCAGCAAGTCCAGTCACCTCAATGGTACGTGACTGTTGACTTTTTTCCTCTTTGCATGGTTCAACTGCAGTGTTATGTCCTGTAACAGTCAGTGTGGCTCCATCAAGGGTATGCTTACCGTGTCCCAGGACCCTTTTCGCAGCTTAAAAAGTATCAAATGTTTATCATTACAAAAACAGAAAAGTTTTCAACAAGTTAAATTCAAACAATTAAATTCGCTCGTACTCACTTTCGACTGTGGCGAAGGTGATAAAAGCAATTCCTCGGTCAGGAGTGTAAGCGACACTTTCTATCTCTCCCCCCCCAGTACGCCGCTCGTTTTCAAAAAAGTTCAAAATTGCGTCTTCAGTTGTTTGCGCAGCAAGTCCAGTAACCTCTATTACTCGCGATTCTTGTATTTTTACTTCGTCGAGCGAGTCAGTTGCTGTGTTGATGGGCGTGAGATCCAGTGTGGCTCCATCAAGGATGTGCTTACCATGTTCTAACACACGTTTCACGGCTAAAAATTGTAAGGAGAAATTATGTCTTGGTCACTCATGGGTTGAGGGGTTAAAAATGTAAAGTAACCGAAAAAGAATTTTGGTAAATGCCTCAAGATATTTTCCTTTATGATGGCCTCTATTGACGACAATAGGAGCCCTTATTAGAATTCAAAATAAAATTCAGCCTAAACCAAATTATTTACCATCATCATCTTTGAATGTCACGAAAGCTATATTTTCTTCAGGTCGGTAATCCACGACTTCTACCTCTCCACCCCCAGAACGCCTCTCATTTTCAAAGTAGTTGGAAATCGAGTCTTCTGTAGTCTTTGCAGCAAGGCCAGTTATCTTGATGGTTTTGCTTGTACTTTCAGCATCCTCAAGTAACTCGAGACTGACATCAAGTGTAGCACCGTTAAGGATATGCTTGTCGTGCTTGACAACATGTTGTGCCACTAAAGAGGACACGAAACAAGGTAAGTGTATAGGAAATCATAGATTATAGATGTCAATCCAACAGCAGCAATGACAATTATTCTCTGTTTAAGAACGCAAACGATTGATAAGTGCTCAAATACCAAGAGTGAAAACCTGGTATTGTTTTTATGCCTTCGAGAGAGAACAAAGCATATAATCTGTTACATAACTTGAAAGATATCTTATCATCTGACACATGGTCGGATGATTCTATCATGTCAGGTGACAAGGAGATGAAAACGTCGCCCAAAAATCTCACCGTATAATTTTTCCAGAACTATTACCTTGCTGGTCATATACGAGTTACAAAATGAGCCTCGAAAACAATGAAATGGCAGAAAAAAAACAAACAAAACAATTCAAGCCTTAAAGAAAGGCAAGCTTCAACAGGATTCGAACCTGTGCCTGCCGCAGAAATGGTTGGACGACACGCCCAACTCAGCCATGAACACACATTAAAAGTAAGGGAAATTTTAGTTGGCCATTAGTCACCGCTAAGGAGTTTGCCCAGAAATACGTATACACAATTCTTCTCTTGTATCTTATCCTCAGGACGACAAGAGAAACGGACGAAATTTGTCTCTGTCCCAACATTAGGCTTGTAACTCGGTTGGTAGTGGCACGCCCAACCTGTCTGTGAGAGGAACAAAGGCTGATAGTTTCGAANTCAGGGAAAATTCATAGAAACTGCAATGTTTACAAATACCGGAAGTCACGCATCATACTGACCCGTGATTGGCTTATTTACCGTTTAGTCGCAGGGACTGGTCGCACAAACAGTTCACACGAAGGGACAAACATTTGTTTCATGCGACAAGTCCCTGCGACTGGTCGCACGAATTCAAACCAGTTTGAATTCGTGCGACCAGTCGCAGGGACCAAATTTTGGTCCCTGCGACCACAGAAATGTGTAGTTCACACGAAGGGACTAGTCGCATGAAACTGGTCGCTGGGACTAGTCGCAGGAACTAGTCCCCTCGTGTGTGCCGACCTTAACCACTTGAACGTTCCCTTTGCAATATTCATACACGATTCTTACGAAACTTCATAATGATCACTCATGTTTCATGTAAATTTGAAACGCACTTGGCCTTCATCCTTGTCATAATTAAGTAAGAGCGCTGGTGTTTAAGACATGAAAGAGCCAGTCATGCACAACCCTTAGTCGAGATATACCTATACTTTGCATCTTGAAAGGCCACATTATAGTCATGTCATGGACGTTACGTTGTCCCTGTACTCGCCGACATTTGTTTGTTATGATGCACCTTTGAGGTGCTCTTTGAAACCTCTGAGTTCGGCGACATCTGGAAACATTTGATAGGAAAAGCGGAAGTGTTGCAATCGATCGAGCGGGCATGAAATCATGAAATTAGAACGTCTTTCATTTAATCGACAGAATACTAATAACAGTTGGGATTGAATGCATTAACCGAGAGAATAAAATAAAGCGAATTTCCAACTCACCGTCGCTTTCTTCAAATGTTATGACCGCCTCGCCTTCCTTCAATTCCACCGAACTGATATCTCCGCCTCCAGATTGTTTACGTGATTGGAAATATATCAGTAATTCTTGTTTAGATATCACTCTACCGATGGCTCGAACGTGTAAAATGCGACCTTCGTCCATGTCCACAATGGTATGTGTATCTACACTTCGAAAAGTTATAGAAAGAAGGATTTGTTTTGCATCGTGCGTAACCGAAACTTCTCGCCGGCGCGGATTCCAAGAATCCGCATGGATGCTAATTTCCGACGAAGCGTATCGATGATGTCATCGCCAGTCACGCAAGTAACCCTCTCAGTGGACTGATAGAGTAAAATAAAGTACGTTTGTCTCTTAAATTAGGCTATTTGAATGAAGACATAACTGTAATTTCTTTATTACTTAAATATGATATAAAATAAATCAGTTAAATACTTCTCAGTTCCTCTGTAAGATTCTAGCAGAGAATTTGTCATAGGGATTCCCCGCTAACAACACTAATACTACCTGGTGTTCTTTTCAATTGTTGATGTTGACATCTCAACCTTGAGATTGTTTGGGTGACTAGAAATATTTCGTTCATTCGTACAATATGATTTCTATAGCAATACCTCGGACATGCAAAATCCGGTCTTTCACAAAGGTTTGACACAATCTTTCCACAATTTGAAAACCGAAAATAACCTTACCGATTTCCGCATCAGGCGAAATTGAAATTTTTCGACATTACCGATTCTTAGAAATCGTCGGGAAAATCCCCGACAAGATATTTCGATGATTTCACTGCCTGCCACGCATGTTACTTTTAAGGGACTGGGCGTAAAGTAAGTTATTGTTAACTTTATGAAAGTACGACTAAGACAGATAAATAACGATGGTTTCCTTCGTACATAAACTGAATATCAACTAGACTAGTTAACGCAATTGGTATTACATTTAACCCTTAAGGGAAGCCTCAACTAAATGCCGAGATTTAAGACAAATGATTCTTCCCTCTCCCCGTCGTTGTATGGATGTAGTCTTTATTCACTGAATACATAACAGCATAACGGCCAACAAACGTGCAAGATTTAGAAAAGTTTATCCCTTAAGAGAAAACTAGTAATAATCTAAATGAAACTAAGAAGACATCTGTTGATAAAAGTTCGCTTAAAACGTTCCCTGCGAATACGAGGCTAAATGTAGTTATGGCCGCGAGAACGGAGCGACCTTCCCGGGCTCTGCATGGGAAGTAGGTCATGCAGGTAGTGAAGGTCATGGGGGGTCTTACCCAGGCCCTAGACGATTTGTTATTGCAGAAGTTTCAGGGAATTAGAACCGAGAACTCCTGGAAATCGTGTAGAGAACAACAAGTGAAAACAGTCATAACTTCTTTTCCTTTCGTTAGGCACCAATCTGACATGGCAGCGAAGCCAGATTTCGTCAATGGGCAACGCGATTCACGGCCTCAAAATACAAGTGTCGCTAACAGAAGTGTCTTGGTTAAAAACTTTTCGCGCTCGACTAGCAAGGAGGCGATGTTCGCTTACTAAGCGAAGGTGCTGTAGTTGTTACACTTTGACAACGCGGAAGGTTGGTTAGATTGATTAATTTTCAATCTCATTTCGGGTGGCTTCAAACCTTCATAGGTTTATGAAACTGCGATACTTTCACAGAGATTAACCGTCGATCCATAGCGAAATGGTTCGGTTATATTAGCTATCCAAAACTCAAAGTCTCTTGCTCCAAAATACAGTTCCTTTACTCAGAGTTGGTATGAATCATAGAGTTTGAAAGTTCTCGTCATTTTCAGGGGCAGTACACGCCATCGTCAGCGCTTTAAGCAGGAGCGACGACGGAACTGACGGAGATTAGCTGTCAATCCATAGCGAAATAGTTCGGTTAGCTATCAAAAACGTTTCTTTACTCATGGTATAATACGTAGAGTTTGAAAGTTCTCGTCATTTTCAAAGGGAGTAAGCACCATCATTAAAAGCAATACTTTTACCTATAGACACTGAACCAGAGGCGTAGATCTCGAAAATAATACTTTTTTAAAAGCCTTTTAGCGACTATGACATTGACATACCAGAGCCTTTTAAGAGCTGGCAAATCCATTTTTTGCCTGTGATTCGGGGAACGATGGAGAATATGCTGACCTTTTCGGAGAAACATGGTGCAGTCAAAGTGAAGGAATGTTGAGTGAGAGTTCGTGTAAGAGTGTGCTTGAGAGCGATGATAGTAAAGTGAACTTTCTTCATCACTACCGAAGAGAAGGCACAGCACTCGGAGTGGAACAACTGCTGCGAGCATGTTTTGCCAGCTGGAGCTTGGTCTTCAATGTACAGCTCACGCAGATCGAAACTATGGCTTTTAAACCGCCAGATATTCCTCAAAAAGATGAAAAGCAACTCATTGTGTGAAGATTCCAC